AAAAATAGCATCATACACAATTAAAAATAACATCAAATATGGTTCTCACGGTTCTCACACCAGACATAGTTTTTATTTGAACCAGCCCCTATATATATATATATATATTATATATATAGGGTGTGGTTCAAATGAGAACCAAGTCCTAGCGTGAGAACTGTGATGTAGTGTTATGATTGATTGTATTTAGTGTTATTTTTAATCAGGATGTATTTTATTAAAAATAGCAACTTAATTAGTATTTGTAAAAATGATAGCACCATGTAAGATTAAAAATAGCATCATACACAATTAAAAATAGCATCAAATATGGTTCTCACGGTTCTCACACCAGAAAAGGTTTTTATTTGAACCACTTCCTATATATATATATATATATATATAACTATCGCATATTATGTATATTTCGAGAATGTTTCGTTGAATTTTTAGGTGTAATATCAGACAATTTTCTAATATTTCCTACATATTATAATGTTTGGTTCAAATATGTTAAGGCCTTGAAATAGGCTAAAGCCCGATTTTTTATCACAACTTTTCACCATACCATATCTCACCTCCTGCATGAGATGTGTAATCATCATATTTTTTCTTCAAAGTTTCCATAAATACCCCTATTTTTTGTTTCAATTGGACTGGGGCTCGTCATTTCTCTGCAAAGATAGAGCTTCGCGCAAGATAATCATGAACTAGTCGTAGTTGTGTGTTATTCCGCATCTCCAACAGTGGTGGTGGAGGAGGAAGAAGGTGACTGCGATGCAGATACGGTTTCAGCGGTGAAACGATTTTGTAATAACGAGATCTGTGTGGAGCGAAATTGGACGGAGAAGGGAGAGGAGGGTGCGCCAAGCAGCTATATATTGGTGGTGGCGGCGATGGGGAGAGAAGGATATGCGATTGATGGAAAAGGCGATGGAAGAGGGATATTATGTGAATAGGACCGGACAAAAATCGGGAGGATGGAGAATGTTTTCATACATGTGATGGTGGGTGTGATGATGTTGGCAGTGGTGTGGGGTGGTGGTGGAGGTAGAGCGGAGAAATTTTTTTATGTGAAATTTTTTCCCAATTTCAGGCTACAAAAAGTATTTTTATTAGTTTCTTTTTTTTTTCTTCTTCTAATTTTGACTTTTGAGTCTAATATAAGTTTGTTGTAATTAGTATCACAAATCACCATTTTTGGAGGGTTTTTTTTGGTATCATTGATGGAAAGATGGTACAATTGAGCTTTGCAGAGAGGTGAATGAATTGAAAAAGACATCTATTTCTTGAGGGAAAAATTTCAAATTTAATTTAATATGGAGGGCAATAATGTAATGTTGTACTTTAGTTATTGTTATCAATTTTGAAACCAAACATATTAATGAGCCTTATTGTATCAACTACTAGGTGTGAACATGGGTCGGTACGGCTCAGAGATTGATAAATCTCCAGAACCGTACCGAAGTTCGGAGATCACTAAATTTCGATCTCCAGAACCATATCAAAAAATCAGTTCGGTCCGGTTCGGTTCGGATATTCGAAAATTTTTTAACATTTTTAAATTTTTTTTGAATGACCACCTAGTTATATTTTATTTTTTATATGTTTTTTTTTTAAAATTCAACATTCATCAATACTTCTTCATACTAAAGATTTTATTTTTAAATGAACTTTATAAGTAATCCAAAATTTTAGTTAAGGCTAAATTCAACTAACATTGAAAATCTAAAATTCAATTCAAATAAAAATAATACAATTTTATATTAAAGTAATATTTATTTAATCTTCCATACCATGTTATAAGATAAACTAAAGTTAAGTATCGACAACTTTAAATAAAGCTTAAATATATATTTTTTTAATCTTTAACCTTTCATTCAATTTTATTTTTTTTTAAAACATGAGAAATTCAATTCTAGATCAAGTATTACTAAACATGAAATGTAAGTGAATCTTATTTGTTATTACTATATTTTATTTGTATTTTAAAAATTCTCAAATTATATAGGATCAAAGTTGACATAAAATATATTAATAACACGCATCTATTTTTATAATTCGGTTCTTATTACGGTTCTTCGGTTCGATACGGTACAGGACGGTTCGGTTCGGTTCTCGGTATAAGTATTTATGAAATCTCCAGAACCGTAACAATTATTTTTTCGGTTCGGTTCGGTTCATAAAAAGTCAAACGGTCAACGGATATTTTTCGGTTCGGAGTGATTTCGGTTCAGTTCGGAATTCTCCGAGTCCCATGCTCAGCCCTATCAACTACAAAAGTGAATAGGTCTAATGGGAATTAATCGAGCTCTATCAATTATTGCAACCAAACACACCCTTAAGATGTAGGTTCATGATTGTGAGAGTAATATGTTGCATAAAAACAATGTAAGTTCAATGAAAAACGCGAAAGCCTATATGACTTTGGAAGGATTGCTCCGCTCTCCCTCATACCTCTTTCATAAAGCTAATGTTCGTCGACCAATAAATACATATATAAATATGAGCCAACTCTCCCTCTTAACTGATTTACTCTATACTCTAGTAACTAAACTACTTTTCTGCCTACAACGTGGATTTACTGCATAATACCTGAGATTCCCTCTAACATGTATAATGATCTCCTTGTCATTTTCTAGCTACGTACCTTTTCTCTAGAATAATAAATCTCAATGTACCTTTCTCTACAAATAGATAATAAACTTGATTTGATTCTCCGAGTCTCTAGTTCTTAGAGCACCCACAATGCTTTGGGTCTTTTTAAAAAAAATCACATGGCATGTAGGAAATAGACCTAGTCTATAAAAAAGTGTTTGACAATGCAATTAAAAGTGGACCTAGTCTAGCTTATGTGGCAATAAAAAAAAAGAGACAAAGTCCACTCTTGGGTCTATTTTAGGGGTGGGCAAAAAAATCGGATTTCCCGATCCCGAACCGGACCGAAATGGTCCCGTTCTGAAAAAATAGGGTTCCAATCGATTTTTAAAATTTTCGTACCGTTCCCGGTACCGAACCGGTTGAAACAATGTCGGTATCGGTTTTTAATATTTTTTTCCCGAACCATCCCGTTTGTCCCATTTTATTTTTTTGTACAAAAATATTATATATATATATATATATATATTATACATTAATTTATATTTATGTTAGTATTATATTTAATTATTTTTCAACTAGCAGTTGGTGTAATGGTGTTTTTGTTTCTGTTTCAATTCAATCTATATATAATATTTTGCAACATAAATATAAATCAATGGTGTACAATGCAAAAATATTTTCTGTTGGTGTCATCTGATGTTAAAAAAAAATAAATATATAATATTTTGTTTTGCAAATTTCCTAGAGTCATTTGACGTTAAAAATAAAAACAAATATTTATGTGTGATATTTTTTTTCAACTTGCAGTTGGTGTAAAGGTGTTTCAATTCAATCTATATATAATATTTTATGTTGCAAATTTATATTATACATAAATTTATACAAAAATAATTTTTTTGAATGCAGAATGCTTCAATGCTTGATTGCAGCTTAATTAGTTGATTGCAACTTTGAATGGAATCAAAGTTTTTTTTTTTTTTTTTTTTTTTTT